AACTCTAATAATTTAATTAATAATAATTATTTTAAAATATTTAGTTTTATTTTATATTTAAAAATTAAAATTAAAAATTTTAAAAAATATTTAATTTTAATCGAGTTATTTCGAGTTATTTGATCCGATCCTGTTTCAATTCAATTAAATATAAATAATTTCAATTTGGATAATATTAAATTTTGATTTATACATTAGACTCACGATCTGATCTATGGTGGATAAATTGGGTTAGATCTTGTTATTAGATCTGATTTTACCAGCTCTATATGATGCAGTAGCCTAAACTATGATCATAGATGGTTTCTTATTTTTTTAAATAACATATTTCACTTCGAGAAATAAAATTTATTTCCCTCAGTTTTAAAGTGTTTTTTTCCAAATTATAGAAATTATACACCATCGATCTTTTATTCTCTGTCATTCTCGTGATTTATATTAATTTTCTGTACATATTTATATTTATTGTTTGTTAGATCATCAACGTTATGGCAATGACAAGTGCTGGTACTGCAACTTTTATTTTCCCTCAACTTCTGAAAGGGGGCAATTATAAGAGTTGGAGCATTTTCATGGAAGACTATTTGATTTCTCAAGAGCTTTGGGATGGTATTATTGTTCCATTTGTATTCACCACTGATCATCCGCTGCTTAGTGAATCTGAATGGAGAAAAAGGAATGCCAACGCTCTAAATGCAATTAAGATTTCATGTGGACCAGAAAGCTTTGTTCGTATAAGGTATACCCATTCAGCAAAAGATGCTTTAGATATGTTAGCCGAAATGCATAAAACAGAGCCTGAAACGCATAAAACAGAGCCTGAAACTAATGAAAGCACCCCAAAGGCAAGTAATCATCCCCTGCCTTTTTAGGGTCTTAATTTCAAACTACAATTACTTGTCACTTTGATATTAATTTGTTGGAATGGTTTGATAGATGAATGTGGCAATGGCAAGTATGATTGTCCCCGAACTTCTGGAAAGAGGCAACTATAAGAGATGGAGTATCTTCATGAAAAACTACTTAGTTTCTCAAGATCTTTGGGTGGTTACTCAACGCTTCCTCAATCCTTTTGGAATTTCGAAAGGGGAGTGGAGAAGAAAGGGAGCTGCCGCTCTGCATGCAATTCAGATTTCATGCGGAGCAGAAAAATTTAATCGGATAAAGAATTTGTATTACGCAATAGAAGCTTGGCATGAGTTGAAAAGACTAAACGTTAAAGAGAAATCAAAAATAGATAATTCAGGTTTGCTACTTCTGTCTTTATATGACATCCTATGTTTAAGATTGCATTTAACTCAAATGAATTTGGCAAAAGATGTGAAATTTTACACGCATGCAATTCTATATATTCTTTTGGTTGGTATTATTAAAATGTGTTGAGTTCAATTTCAAACTTTTAAATCATGAGTTTAATTCTAATTAATCTCACTTCCGAACATCATGAAGAAGAAGACAAAGAAAAAGAGGAAGAAGAAGAAGAAGAAGAAGATGATGATGATGATGATGATGATGATGATGATGATGATGATGATGATGTAGAAACTTCAAAGGTAATATTAGCAATTTTTTTTTGGTTGCGTTTTCCCCGTTGGGGACGTTTAGCTTTCAAATTGGCCGCTTGTCATGCGGATATTAATTTGATGGTATATTTATGATTTTATAGATTACTGTTGCGAATACGATTGTCCCTGAACTTCTAGAAAGTGACAACTATGAGAGGTGGAGCTTTTACATGAAAATCTATTTAGTTTCTCAGGATCTTTGGGATGTTGTTACACTGATTTTACCTGATTCTGGACTTTATACAAAGGAATGGATTAAAAAAGATGCTTCCGCTCTGCATGCAATTCAAATTTCATGTGGAGCAAGCAAATTGAGGGAGATAAGTTCTGCTAATTCCGCCAAAAAGGCTTGGAATACTTTGCATCAGTCAGCCGTCAAAAAAGAGTGTTGGCGAATAGATGATGATAAGCGTGATATTGCTGCTTGTTTTCCATGGCCAGGTCTGCCACCTCTTTCTCTCTCTCATCCTTTGATTTTCGCGGCTATGTTTTGGTTTCTACGTAGCTCTAGGCTTGCTTATATTAGCCATTAAAGAAAGAGATATACCCTTTTTCGCAAAATATTACTGTAGTTATTTTTTTATTTTCTTTTAATATTAGAAATAATTTATATTTTTATTTATATTAAATTTAATAAAAGTAATATAAATAAAAGTCTTTTATGATATGATAAATAATTAAAGTTAGATAATAATAAAGTTAATAAATTATTTAACTCTATTAAAGAAGAAAAAAAATAATCTAAGACAAATTTTGATTTTTTT